TATTTGACAGCAGCTGTGATTGGTCAAAAGAACTTCTTCCTACATTTGCAACATTGTGTGAGCTATAATACGGTAGCCTCTATTGGTTTAATGACTCTATTGTTTTATATCATTAAATTAATTAATTCGTATATTCTTCTTAGAAGTGCGTGGAATATTATTATAAATTAGCCGGTTTTAAGGAACTTTGTTTTCTAACTATTGTCATCGTCATCTGATCTTGGAAACAGGCTGATGCTTGTTACTGTTGGGCATAGGCTTTTCCAATGGCAAGCTACTGACTTCGGCCACCAAATTGGACGACGTTGACATTATATTTATAAAAGTATGTTGTACTATGTACAGTTAATAAAAGGTTCTAATATGTTCTGTCATTTAGAATACACAAGTCGGTTGAAGATTTCTTTAAGAAAATGGTCTTTCTTGTCTGTTGGATTTTCTAAATTGTAGAGCAAGTATGTAGGTATACTTGCTCTTTTTACAAAGACATTTTGATACATAAAAATGTCTTAAAATACACTGCCGCAATTTACTATTAGTTACCTTCTACGAATACTTCAAAAACGAAGAATTGAAGTGGTAGTTTGCCCAGTTCAGTTAAAGAATCCGAAACCACTTGCTCGACAGTCGTACAGGGGACCTATCGAGTAAAATCTATGTAGTCCTAACAAGTGTATCCGTCTGCACATCCAACGTTGGGGTTAAACAAATGTTATCTGCGCAGTTTAACGATGTAGACGAGAAAGTATCGTTATCGTTGATCGTAAATCGTATGGAACGATCGTCCGATACGTAACGATCGCGTACGGAATGAATTCCGTTTTGCATTGATTGCTCCAATACACTGCATATTGTTACGCCTTTTTATATTATGGTATTTTGTTGGTATGAACACTATGCATTGCGCAATTTCATGTTGCGCAATGTCTAAACCAACTATAATACACCTTTAAGTTTTTAGTATCAATTTTTTCCTAAAGGTATCGCTGCAAAAACAAAATATTCCCATAGTTGAACCCTTATAAAAATGGATACAATTAAATTATAGAGTTACCATAGTAACTGCCTCGTTGGTTAAGTGGTTGCAAGTGCGACTACCGGGCCAGGGTTCTCGGGTTCGATTCCCGGGTCGGGCAAAGTATTACTGGGTTTTCCAAAAATCTCAGTAGTAGCACGGAGTCTGGAATTATGCCCGGTATATTACATGGGACTCATAACATAAATAGTGAAAAGTGGGTGTTATTAATTGTACAGTGGCATAATGTGCCCCACTGCCTACCCCTTAGGGGATAAAAGGCGTGATGTTATGTATGTTATGTAGTGACCATAGTAGCACCGCCACGCGCTGTGTTGATTCTCCGTTAAACTGTTATGAAAATTTGTTAAACTGGTTAAACTGTTAGGTTGAATTGCATTTGAAAAGTAGCTAAAATGATTTAGCTTTATGTTAACAATTTAAGTGTATTCAAACATTTCAACATTATTAGAATATTTCGCCACTATCATCATTTTAGCATTTGTTTTAGGAGTGAATAAGTACTTAAGAATTATTAGGGATCCTTCTTTAAATTAAATATTGATTGTTTATTTCTTTTGGAGCATAATACTGATTGGTCGATTAGTCGATTCCAATAAAATTTTCGCTTTGTCTGCAAATGACAATAAATCCTAAACAAACAGTTTGATCGATTGGTCATTCGAGCCGTTAGCGAATCAATAGATGTAGACCTATAATATGTCAAATAAATCAATTATAACATTTAGGTACCTTGTTACTTAAAAATATTACATTTACAGCTTTATGTGTTATCATTTGTAGGTATCTAGTGGTAGTTGTAGTAGTGCTACACCATATAAAAACGTAAATCCGACGGAAGAGGTTACAACTATCACGAAAAACAAAGTAGATAAGTTTCAATCAGCTGGTATTTGTGGTAACACAAAACCAATATAAACTGTAACAGTTAGGTGCAAACTAAAGTGTAACACCTGACGTGGAAGTTCAGCCGACGTTGACGCCCACCCTCGTTGAATTAGAATTAGAATAGAGCTTGATTGGCGGTGCTGAGTTCTCAGACAAACTTGCCTGCATTCTGAACTTCATGGATTGATTATAGGTATAGACAGGCAAAGATTTCATAGGTAAATACTGCACGAATTTTACTTAAAAGTACCTAGGTATGTTTCATAATAGATATTAGAACTTCTAATGACACCGAATTTTTATGAAATAAAAATATAAATATAATAGATAGGTAGAATCAAGATTGCAGTGGTAGGTCAAGTCAAAGACTTTGGGAATTGTATTAAATTTTATTGTATTTCCGCATTGCGGTGTACTATGTCGCCTAAACGGTAACACAAAGGCTGTCAGAGTGTGCTCTTTGTGTCTAAACGAAAGAATTGTACTTTCCGCTTGAAAGGAACTGAAAGCCATCACAATATTAAAGTGTCATTTAGAGTTACAGATTTATTAGTCATTGTGCTATTTCTGGAGAAGTTTTGTTCCAAAAAGCCAAATGAATGTTTTGGAAACTCGTAAGCAATAGCAGTACTATGCGTATCTCTAGTCTATTTTCACCCTTTCCCTTATTTCCTTTACAATTTTTTAAAGATAAATATTCCCAATCATAAAACTATTGAGATTATTAAAGTGCTTTTGAGTTCGACCCTCCTTCGGGGAAAATACAATTAGGTTTTTGTAAAACCTATATTGTTTGTAGTACTATCACTGATTTCATGAACACTTAAGACGGTTTTCTAAAACTTAACGCCAGCTTGTCGCTCGTTGAGATATTATAATTATTATTGTAAGAAATTACTTTTACTATACTCTACTACTGTATAGTAAATACTATACCGTGCTACTATGCTGTTTACTCTAACCGTGTACGGAGCCAATCATCGTCTTGCCGGAAGCCATCGCTTCAACCACCTTTGTATCTAAGTGTGCTGGAATTATTATTTACTATTAGGTATATATTTTGTAAATTTTTTTCGGCCATTTCTCTTGTTTTTCTCTTAATATGTGTCCTGTCCATCGCCATTTCAGTGTTCGACATAATGGATTTGCCTGTATGAATTGTGTTTTATGTTTACTTTCTGTTAGTCTAACTTCATTTGTTAAGTTTTTTGTTAACGCCCAAGTTTGACAGCCATATGTTAAACATGGCAGAATGCACATGTTATAGACTTTTCTTTTATATATATCGTAAATAATAATAATATATTTATTTGCTTTTTATGTTTGGTACCCAAGAGATAGTAAAAGAAATAAAGGGCGACAAAGTAAACGATGGGAGGACGACATAAAAACGGTGGCTGGTCCAGAATGGATCCGAGTAGCAAAAGACAGAGAGAAATGGAAATCTTTAGAGGAGGCCTATGTCGAAAGACAAGCTGTTTTTGAACCGAACGCCGATATAAGAAGATATAAGATTACATTTTAAAGCAGCAAGCAGTTTAAACAGCAGTAAAGGCTAATTTTACTTTTATTTTATTATTAGATATTTTGTAACACTATACTGTTTTGCTATGAAGTTAAAATGAACTGAGCTCATATTTATCAGATAAAAAATCGTAGGTATAGGTACACGTACAATTTGTATTATCAGAAGGGATTAACTATTTCTCGGATTTTCATTATCAAATCGCAATTTAGAACTTTATAGCATATTAGTAGATTACGTATAAATATCAGTCCTGTAGATATATGTGTGTGCGTATTTTAGTAATCCATAGATTATACATTTATGTGTCTTATGTGCATATGTATAAACACCTTTAACTATTCCTTCGGAAAAAATATTCAGCGTGATATTAAAAGACTGGAACAATTTATTCAACTAGGTATATGAAGGACCTTGTTTCTCATCTGTTGAGCAATGTCTTACTTAGTTTTTGTTTACAAACATCGAGTCAGTAATTTTAATTATTTAGAGACGGATATGGAATATAAGGGGATGGAACCAGTATCTTAATCTAATCGTAACAGAGTGCGCACCGTATGTATTGGCAACCAATCACAGATCTGTAGGTAATACTAGCAGCAGACTGTAATCTTTCTTTGTATCGTTGTATTTTCTATGTTTATCTGTATACTTGGAAATACGTCATCAATGATACCTACAAACATTTCCCGGGATTTACAGCTGCGGCCGGTTTTATTTTCTTTGTTTGGCTTCAGCACCTAAGTAGAGGTATACTTTAGTGGTGACGATTTCCATTTTAAGAATTTAATTGCTATCATAATTATAAATAACTTCACACTTATTATGCACAACGTGTGCAATTTAATCGATACTAAAATCTGTATCACGCCCACCAACTTCTTATCCATAAACTATTCCTTTCCAGGAATAGTCTATGTCAGTATTGCGTAAATCATGCAAAAGTAACATGAACAGTTAACAATGATGTCCTTCAATCAACCTAATTATAAATTAATTTATAGATTTTCTTACATAAGTTTTAATGTTTGCATGAAATTGTTTGTCGTTGCTATTTTTCCTTGACAATAATGCAATTTTAAATAAGAACTGTGATATTAGAATATATAATATGAAATAGGTACGTTTTTATTTAGGAAAGCATGTTCTTCCGTAGTCCCCGGAACTTATGGCGATCTACCATGCAGGTACTTTAACTCAGCTGTCAGGTCTGCCGCCTATGTCGGGTTGCCATACATAGCCTTTGAACGATTCTCCCTTAGAACCACCCACGGGCGATGCCATCTCCTCTACCAAGTTTAACGAATGAATAAAAATTTCACAAATGATTTGTTAATTGATGCAAAATAGTTAAAATAAATTAAAAGTGGTAAATTTGAATTCGATGTAGACAAGTTATTTAAAATATCCGATGAGACACCTCAATTATACAATACACGTAATTCGTAAATTTATTAATATATTTAACTGTATTGAGTGTAGTATGGTTGGATATCGAAATTGATTTTTAGGACAGGTTACGAAAATGTGGACAGCGTAAAAGAAATAAATAGCAGCAAATTAATTTTGTAAATGTAAAAGTAATGTAGGTAAGTATGTTTACATAATTTTACGTGTTTATTTTGACATGCATAAGTTAAGATTTCAATGATACGTTTGGTTATGGCACTAATTTACTTTATCTTGGAATGAGCTCTGAACATTTTCTTAAAATGTTAAATTTTCCAAAAAAACTGGAGCAGCAGGTGAGGTGTTGCACTGTGTTAGTAGTAAAATTTCAAATGTATGACAAAGCAATGAGATCTCAAGAAAGAACACACATCGGAAAAGTTCGAAACAAAACTAGTTTCATACATTTGTAATAAGTTGACATAAAATTTATTGATTCTCTTGGCGACGTTTGTCGATTAGATGAATTCTTTCAATCTTTCGTCATTTTGTTGAAAGTAAAATCGTTACTGTTTAAATATTTTATTATAAAATTTTTGTACAAACATTTTAAATATATCTAAGAAATCGTTTCAGTTGTCACTACCAGTTGCAGTTTTAAATTACCTAAAAAGAGTCCAGCTCAGTCATGACCATCACTAGGCCTAGGTCATAGAGGCTTCTTCACCTTTTTGATATTGTAGATATTATTTAGTAGGTGTGTTGGAAGTGCACCATTTTGCCCCAATTTATTACTTCCAATTTCTAGTAATTAATTAAAATCAAATCTATGATAATACTCGTTACTTAATCTTAGATTGGTAATCTAGAGTGGAGACCACCTTACTTTCAACAATATGACGGCAGATGACAATTTAGCCGAAACTTTGTCTTCAGTAAATTTCACAGGTGTCGCCGGAGTTAGGTGGAGTGTAGCTGAACGAGTCAATCAAAACTATCGAATCTTCTGCAGTTGACCCGATCAGAGTGATCTGGAATTGAAACAAGAAAATATGTAGTAAATTTAGGCTGTTCGTGTTAGGTACAATTTCCAACTTTCTTACTCTAAAATACTTATATCTTTTTAAAAAAAACATTCACTACATTAGGATTTTCTCCTGTATCGTGGATGCGCTTATAAACAAAAATTATTTTATATAAACTTTGTACATCACACAGAGCTTTTCCGTTTGGGAATTAAAATTTGACACATTGCGCAGCAGCCGGTTGCTTAAGCCACTGCGCCATCCTGCAGTTGATAGTCAACAGCAAATACTAGTTAGTTAGAGACATCATGGGCAGCTGCATATATGAAAATATTATAATGCACGTATATTTATATATATATATATATATATTTAAAATACTCACATAGCCATCAAATGTCGCAAAATCGTTTACAGTCACTTGTAATACATTCCACCCTTCCACGAAATGTGCATTAGAAGCGTAGTATAAAGTGAATCCTGCTACTGTGTCCTCACCAGAAGGCACTCTCTTCTTTGCCAAAACGATTACATAGTCTAATTTTGATACTGACTTCATGAATGTGTTGACTTTCACAACACCTCCTGGCATCATTCTGAAGACGAACGAAGAGATGCAACTTGATGTATCATTTGGTGCAATGAAAGTATTACTGTTTGGATTAATGCTATCGATGGACAGAGAATGATAATCTCCTAGGTGCCATGTAGAATATCCGCTGCATAACTGACTGTTAGTGTCAAATAAATTATCAAAATCTTGTTCGAAATTGTATGTGACACACTCTTCGCCTGTACCAACTGGAGCTACTGTTGTGATGGGAACTGGTGTTGTTGTTTCCAATACTTCGTCTTCGTATATTTGACACTCGTCCTTATTGAATGTTGGTGAAATGTATCTGAATGAATCAATTAGAACAAAGGATTTTGCAGATCCCAGACCAAGGAACGATACCTGAAAAATAAACACAAAACAATTAATTACATTCTAAAGACCTTTCATAAATCAGTTTATGTATTGAAACAGTTTATTAAAGTATATAGGAAATACTGAATACTTGGTTGTGTTAAGGTTTTATGCGTATAATTACACATTATTTTTAGGGGCTTCCTAGTTGGTGATAAGATAAATGTATTCATGTAATTTTTAGAAAGATGGTAGATATAAACTATTAAGATTTAAGAAGGTATATAGATAACGATAACAATATTATCAGATGGTGAACAGATCTATATCTAAGTTGATACTAATCAGCGCAATCATTCGTTCAAGATTTAAATCTAACATAAAATGTAGAAATACTTACAAAGACATTAAATTTTCCACTGCCTGATAGAGGGACACTTAAAACATGCCATCCGTCAGCGTAATTAGTATTCAAAGGTGTCAGCACTGTACTACCGATCACAACGTCACTGTTATCATCTGCTATTTTATTAACAAGCACCGCAATTTGGTCAGTGTTCGTGTTCGATTCCATGTATGCGTTAACTTCTACTACACCACCAGCTTCAGCATTGAATGAAAATGAGGAAATACAGCTTATCGAAGATTGTGGTGCTATAAATTGAAAGCTTTCTTCACTTGGGTGGTCCACTGGCACAGTAATATAGTTGTTCAAGTTCCATTTTGAAAAGCCAATGCATACTCCACTCTCACTGTCGAATAACGTGTCAAAATCTGTTTCAAAATTGTAAGCAATACAACTTTCTGGAGGTTCAGGCCTTACAGGAGGACTACTGGTAACAAATTCTCCATCGTAAACGTTACAAACGTTGTCATACTCTGGCGGGACGTATCGGAATGAATCTATGATAACCGTAGACTCTTTTGCTGCTACTCCGAGAAAAGACACCTGAAATAAAATAAAAATAAAATATGTTGAAAAGTAATTATACTTCAAGCTATGTAGAACATTATATTCAATGAGTAATTAATAATGTACACGGCACGGTTGATGGAGTGGCTGACTGGACACTGTACCATGTGTGACCGGTCCGATTCCCAAATTGATCTTTGTAACAGAGGACAGGGCTCAAAATTGTACGAACACATATCGTACCCGCCCTTTTAGGACTTTAAATTTTGTTAATTGAAAGGCCCTCTTCTTATTTTAATGTAAGTCAACCAAACTAAAATACATATCTATCCGAAAATATATAATTACGTAAAGTGACAGGGATGACTTTCAGGAATATATTAAATATACTGATGGCATTTGATGCAAACAATCTTGCAAACACTGTTTCTGTGAAGTATCTTAACTATCTCTTATGATAGCAATTTTAGGTGCCAATGTTAGTATAGGCGACAGATAGGCGATGCGACGATAACTATTTCCTCTTAATAAATTTATTATAATTATTTCCAGAAACGTGTAATATATGTATCTATTTATAATTCAATTATTGTCGAGTGTGTTGAACCATGTGATAAAAGTCTGCTTATAAGATTATATTTTTACCGATTATAAGATAATAAGGGCTTAATTTTTAAGACATGACAAAAATACCAAAACCCGAATGAAATCTTTTAATCTAGATAAAGGCATAATGTAACGCCTGTTTTCCTCCAAAACATTCACTAATTATTTATTTTTATTGTATGCTGTTATTGAGGACTTCTGAAATCGAAAAACTGAGTAAACCTTCTGAGTAAAATTGAAACCTCACAGTCCCATAAATTAATATTTTACTTGACCTTCAGAGAAGACGAGGTGTTAAGGTAACGTGTCTAATAATTTAACTACGGTCAGAAGTTTAAGGTTGAACTACTATGTGGTAATAGAGTATTTTTTCTAAGATATAAATCTGCCTATCTATCGAGCAAAACATGGAAAAAGACATGACTTAAGATTTTAGCCATGTAGAAAGTGTCATCATGATAATTAGGTATATAACGTCGGTAATTTTATTAGTTGTTAAATTTTACATACCTAAACCATTGGTGCGTTTTGCCAGTTGTAATTGTCGGTGTACTTAAAACAACAAAAAAATGACATAAAATAAAGTTTCAAAAACTTACGTATCCACTGAAAATTCCGTTACTGGTCAAGCGTAATTTCAAAACATGCCAACCATTAAAGTAATCAGGGTTAAGAGGTGTCAGTACCTCGGTGCCCGTGACAATAGTCTTTCCAGTGCTCGAGACCTCGTTAGCAAGCGCAACGATCTGATCCCGTTGTGACTTTGAATCCATGTAAACATAGATCTCTAGTATACCACCCGCCGTCATTTCAAAATCATACGATGATATACAACTCAGATTCTCATCAGGTGTTATAAACAAATCCGTTTCTTGGTGTGGGCTATTAATACCAGCAATACTGTAGTTTCCCAAGCTCCACGTAGCCATACCAGCACACACAGGGTTAGCATTTGTAAAACTATCATAAAAATTTAGTCCAAAATCATTAGTAACGCAATTATCACATTTTGTTGCCGAAATCGCTAACAGCGATATAAATATTATTTTATTGTATTCCATTTTATTCCGACACTTACACACAACTGATACATTCAACTGTCTTGTAAGTGTGGTAAGTATTGGAATATTAAAGTTATCTTGGATAAGATTATATTAATATACGTATCCAGCACGTTGATAAAGTGCAATTGTTTTCTTTTTATCTTGACTAGTAGTCTGTTAGTGGGTTTGTTCATGATTTTAGCTTAGACGTATGAATATATTACTATCTTCTACACACTTTGTTTAAGTATACAAAAGCATGTTATAAATTTATGGGATTTTGTGTATAAATAAGAAATTGTGTCTATTCAATTCTATAATGGAATAATTTTATATAATGGACAAATATACTTTTTTGTTTTTTATTTTTTTTTTGTTGAAATCTATTGCCAGGTTATAATATTAATTTTGACTTTTATAAACATTCATTTATACGATAAGTGTGTAGTAGGTATTGTGTTAATCAGGTACCTACACGATATATTATTAACTTTAATCTAGACATTAACACATGGACAGAAACGACAATTTCTTTGCTACGTAAATATGTTAATTAAATGTTTTTGTTGTTTATGTTTTAGTACAAAGATAACATTAAAATATTACAGGAAACGGGTACCAGATTTAAATCTGTGAATTCTGGGTAAACATTGGGAAAGCCAAGAGTGCTTTTATAAACGATCGTCATTGATTGATATTTGCCTATAAATTCTGTGTTTGGAAAAATCACAATTAGTCATAGTTTTTAAGTATCATCACTATTATCGTTATTAATTAGCTAAATTCAAAGCTTATTTGCGTTGTAGACAGTTTTCACTGAAAGTATCGTGAAAATTACATTATTTAGACGATATTAAAATTATTCTAATCTTCAGAATTATTACTATGTAAAATGTGCTACTTCCCCCCTTTTTAACAGTGTGTCATTGTCAATGTAACCTAGATAAAGTAACACGAGGTCATTACACTAGCACACTCGATTTTTTTGTCCATCTATTTTGTTGGTATCATCAAGTTAAACTTATATGTCAGAACGGTTTTTATAGGACTTTTCATCAGATACACACTGGTATTGCAAAAACGACAATTTCAGTTTAGTTAATTGTAGTAGATATCCATAAATCGATAACACGAATTGACAAAGACAAATAAAAATGATACATCTGATTATTTTATTGCTATTCTAAATTTCTACGAATTACCACATTTATATTGTTATTGCGATCAATGTTTATATTTTGACGTTTTATTATGAACTATATCTGTTTGTTTATTTAAGTACTATATATATTTATATTTCATTGCCATAATGCATATCGTGGTAATGAATTGAATTGGCATGTGATACCACAACCGAATCGGAGTGCCAACACGGCTTCACAGAAAATGGGCGTGGAGTGTCCTATTTCCCCCAAAAATAACTCCTCTGGTTTTGTGGGATGTCCATAGGTGGCGCCGATTGCTTACCATCAGGTTACTGTACATAAAAATCACCGTATGTCGCTTTAACAGAACAGCATTTACTGTGTCACTATTTGAGTTGTTATTTGTAGTGACCTAACAATGCATAAGCAATGTTAATTACTCTAGCTGCTATGGTGCTAGTGGTTTGGTTACCTGAACCATACGTCTTGGTTCATTTCATCTTCTTAATATTATTCTAAAATAAAAAATTATAATAAGTACCATTGCATTGAAATTCACTCTTAAGTGGATTAAAAAGTCGTGAATTTGCACAGCTTTAGCACTTTCATAGGAACAGGACATGACCGCGTCTGTAATTTTAACGAAAATCCATAAATCACCAAGAGGTTTGTTTGAGAGGTAATCCGATGGATTCCGAGCGTGTCAGGCGGCCGGATGTAGGTGGCGCCCGCGCGTGACGTCACCAACACTTCCGGTAGCGTGCCGAAGCCTTCGGTGTATTTTGTCAGCCTATTTTCAAACGATTTATCTAGTTAGGTACATAATAACTATAAAACTTGTAAGAAGAAAGAGTAAACTTAGACTAATGTAATGACTTGCAGAAATATTCTAACACTAGTAGGCATGAACATGAAATTATGAATCAACTACACACGTATACAATAGATTTTTATAACACGAACTAAACAGATATTATCTATAATTTGTAACAATAATTGTAAAAATAGTTAGGCAGCAATAAATGTTTAGTTAGAGATATTATGTGACGTAGAGATTACGATTTTATTGTTTAAGTACTGTTTCAGGATTTTATGAATGGACTTAACACCAATAAACTATTCTAGAATCATTGATTGCACGATTCTTCAACTTTTAAGCGAATTATTATAATCTGTAACTTTATCTGAGTCTGGTCGACGGTGTTAATTTCTTGCATATTTAAAGTCTTTGGGTTTTCACCAAACGTTCAGAAACCTTAATGCTGGAATGAATTAATAAATTTTCAATAGTCTTAAGTTACAAAAAAAAATCTATGAGTAACTTTTACTTCGTGAACTTATACTGTTGTCAGCGTTTCTGCTTGCACCAATCGTGCATAAGAAGCAAAAGTTCAACTTTACTTGGTGCCACTTTATACATTGATAAATAAATTACCTATGTTATTTATTTACTTATTTATTTACTTTGGGCAAATGCTTTTACTACTGTTATACATATATTTGTATATACCTGGTGCCCTTTCCATGAATATTTCAAATTATATGAAAGTACAAGATAGTCCTAGATTGCCTTTGCAAAAAGATAGGACAGGTATGATAGTAATAGGATTCTGGTAATAGGTCCAATGTAATTCTGAAAAAAGGTTAATCAATAAATATTACAGTAGCCGTTTTTAAATACAATTTTTGACGCATTATTGTTATGAATTTAATAATTATGGTCTAATCTACAATCTTTGTATTTTGAACAATATCAATCAATAGTGATAAGTTATAGCGATTGTATCATAGTATAAATGACTTTAGAAAAAGCTAGCCTACGACAGTCGCTAAGTCTATGTGATTATTAAAGTAATTAACGTATTATTTTTTAAGATTTCACTTTAGGATCTATATCGTGATTAGTTATCAGTTAATATCTAAGATCAAATTTGATGACAACATTAAAATATTTTTGTTAGCGAATGACGTTGATGCCACGTTTCTGTTTCAGATCATTCGTTTTTATTGTGTTCGAAGCATGTTTATTATAATTATTAGTACACTGAATATAGGTATACAAAATGAATAGCGACACCTTACTTTTTATTAAAATTTATATATTTCACCTACGTTGGTAGATACGTCAGAAAGAGCTATATCTATTAAGCAATCTTTAATAATACATTACAATTTAACAGATTTTGTTCTTAAGCTAAAGCATTCTTTGAATCAAAGTCTTCCCTTAATATAGAATCACTATTTTGTATTAAACACTATAGAATGTTTTCTAAAAATATGCGAATTATTTGCCTGATCAAATGCGTAGAAAGGAAATGATTTATATGTATTTACCTGCCTAACATTTGACGCTATTTAAATGTAGTGATTAGTCAGTGAGCTTGTTATAAGTCGATAAGATCGTACTCGATAACTCTATTAACTTTGAAGATACTTTGATAAAACTATAAATGTTCCTAGTAATCGAGTAAATCTTGAAGGAAAAGACGATTTACTTTTAATTTTGTTGTTTATAATCGTGATAATTTGTATTATATTGAAATTCAAGTTTAGGCATTATTGACCTTATGGTCTGAAAATCTGGATTTACTTTAAAGAACCTTTTATACTGATTTTTGTAACCTGAAATGAATGCTTTTGTATAATAGTTTATGGCCTACATATCAATAACATTTTTCCTAATGAAGTAAAGAATTTTATGAATATAGTTTCAAATGCTGACAGTAGCTCAGTTTTCTACAACCAAATTTATTGGATATATTTTATACAGAATTTTGTTGATATTATAATGTCTGATATTAAACAATTTAAATCTTAGCTATTAATTTAAGCTTAATTAAAATCGTGTGAGATTTCTACATAATAATTAATAATATAATAATATGTAGATACTTAATTACACTTATCTTAAATATTTGTGATATGAGCATTTTCATGCATTACGATAAGCAGGTGTAATCATTGAATAACTCATTTGTAATCCGATGCCATTTCTTTCTTTCTTATGTCAATACTCAATATTCATTAAATGCCAGTTTTCGGGATCGTCGAGACAACAATAATTATGTAAAACGATCAGCTACTCAAATCAGAGAATCAGATGGCTAGACAAAAACAGCGCAAATAAGCAATGCAAATAAATAGGTTCATGAATAATGCGATTTCCAAGGTAAGGGTGTTTGCCTTGCTGACGACACTCGTTCCATTTGGGCACACTCACCGCAGACTTAAACTCTCATTGTGGTAATAGCACATAGTTTATATAGTGAGTCCGACCGAACGGCGTAATGTCTTATAATATTTCATAGGAATTGCCGTCGGTTAGTACGTTCCCTTTTTGTGATTTCAACGATTTGCAGGTAAGCTAATTTAGTAAAGCGGTCGTTTGAAACATTGCCTGTTACAAATATTTTATACAGTGCTACCAATGAAGTCCCAGTAGATTTCTTAAACTTTATTTTAGATGTAAATGTAGAATTATACAAACAAAAAATTCAAAGAATTCTTTAATAATCGTGTGCTATGTTTGCTTAAAATTATTAAAGAATATGACTTATTAGTCATTAATGTAAAAAAATGTAAAGTGAGTACCTAGACTATGAATTCAGTAGTTATGTAGAGGTATACCTTATGGCATTAGGTACATTGAAAGCGTTAAGCCGCAGCTATACCACCGTACAGTCTGCGTCCAATACCTGATTGGTCAGATTAATATTATGACCTACACCACAATTATAGTCACTTGTCATTGTACACAGTTTAATTGAAATGGCTGCTATATTATAGTGGTTCCTGTAGATCCTTGAAATTCAATAACCGTTCATTATTGTCTGGTTTATTCAACACTAAGATAACTTTAAATAACAACTAAATACACAGATAGTAATACTAATAATAAAATAAATACTCTTTAATTAACATGATAAAATAACTGCGGTAA